ACATCTCACTGTGGAAGGAGGCCCTCCCCACAAGCCCCTTCTAAGAATGTGGGAGCCTCGAGGCCTCCCCAAGAGATGGGCACAGAAGCCCTGCACTGGCGTCTTAGGCCTTGCCTCTTCCCCGCCTCAGATCCTGATCTCAGCTGATGACGAAATGGAGGAGTCGGATGCCGAGGAGGACCTCCGCAGACTGACCCCCCTCAAACCTGTGAAGAAGAAGAAGCACCGCTTTGGGCTGCCTGTGTGACACACTCCCACGCTGCGGGGGACAGTCCTGGGGCCCCGCCCTGCAGCAGCGTCCCTTCCCTCCTCCCCACCCTCCTCTTCTACCTCCGCTCCTCTTGCTGTCTCCGCCCGCCCGCTCTCCGCCAGCCCGCCCCAGACTACCGTGACTGAAGAGGGAAGAGGACCGTGCCCGGGGCTGTGGGCAGCTGGAGGTCCCGCTCAGTTGCACTACACACACTGACCAAATATGCAAGCGAAGAGCTGTGTCCGTCTGTCTGTCTGTCTGTCGTCATCGTCCCTTGGGGTGTCGTGAGACCCTGTCCTGTGTCTGACCAGCAGGCGTGAGGGAAGAAAACAGAGCACACATCGACTGTTGCGGGTCCTCGTGCTGAGGCTGGGGCCCTGTGGACATGTGACGAGCTTGGGGTTAACAGCCACGGGTTGACCCAAGTTGGAACAGGAATGCTTTCTTACTCAAAATGGCTTTTGTAACTCTTTATTTCTAAAGCCAGTTTTATGAGCTGTGACAGTGTTACTGTTTTTTGAGTATGTGTTTATTTCCTACAAAGTATCTATGGTCTAACGGGCAAACAGATTTTTAAGTCTTCCGTATGCTGTTTGACTTTTATATTTTTTAAGTTATATTTTCATACTACTGTATTTAAAACTCTTTTTAATCCCCAAAGAAATGGATTTGTTTGCCTTTCATGGGGTATGAGCTGATGGGAGGTGGGTAGAAGTCAGGAGTTTCTTAGCCGGGAATACTGTTATGATGAGGTGAAGGATCCTGATGGGAAGGGTAGATAGCCTTTATCTGCGGTCAGAAATCCACAGTGTGTTAAGGTCAGACCTGGGCAGGAGGCAGCTGTTCCGAATGGATCTGTATGCTCCAGCGTGTGGGAGCAGAGCCAGGGCATACAAGCTGGCATGTCAGAGGCTTTGGTTAAACCTGACTGAGGAAGGAGCTCAAGAGTTAGACGTTTGTGTCTGGAGGACTCAAGACCACCAGGCTCCTCCTGTTGGTTTCCTGCCTCGCTCAGGGCCTCCGAATCTCAAATGAGAGCATGGTCCCAGCCTCTGCTCCCAGTACAGCAGCTCCAAGAGCCAACCTTTGCCTTGATGCCTGCCACCAGCTGTCACCTGCTTGCTTGCTCAGCTGCCTGGCCAGGGAAGCCTGTTGTCACGCCCTCCAAAGTTGTGAAGCGGCAGGGGCAGAGCAGCTTCCAGTGAGAGCTTTGTCTTACTGTGTAGCTAGTGTGAGGTGTTTCTAGACTATGGCTCCTTCTTGGTGGTTACGCCCACTTCTCAGCCTGGCCACAGTTCACCTGGTGGTACGGGCTAACCTGGCACTCTCTGCTGTAGAAGAATGTCTGGTGGTTTGTCGTCCAGCACGCAGGCACAGTGGTGAGGAGCACAAGGACACCCCACTACTTCATGGTGTGGCTGAGGCCTTAGGTGAGGCGAGCACAGAGGAGCCGACTCTCCTCAGATCCTTCTTCTAAACCTGCGTAAGAATGTGTTTTGCTTAAGCATCCAGGATCTAAGTCTGCTGTGGCATGTGAACCCAGCCTTTATCCAGAGTACCTGGGGCTGTCCTCTGCCACTGGAAGTCTTACTTGTCCTAGACAGAGGGTGTGCTCTGGGGTGTCTCTCTCGGCTCGTCTTCTCGTGCAAGCACGCTGAGAAGAGAGATTGATTGCTGTTGGATGCTTCACAGCCGGGCGAGGCAGAGGCCAGTGACCTGTGAGATGGATTGGTCAGGCCCTGCATTGTTCCTGTTTCCTCTTTCCTTTCCATCCTACAGCCCTGGCCACTCCCTTCCCCCTCTCTAGTGAGGATGCACCGAGTGTTGTGGAAGAGTACAACTGGAACTCCTGAGGGAGACGGTCAGCTCCCAGTGGCGTTGCTGATGTCATCCTCCCCTCCCCTCCCCTCCGGTTTCACTGTGCTAGAGATGACCATCCTTCTGGAGCTCAGGGTTGGAACCTCATTTTCAGACTTGAGCGCCTCGAGTTTCCAAACCAGCCACAGAGGTGGGGGAACCACTGCCAAGGATGGAAACTCCAGTTGCACAGGCCTCCCAGAGGTGATCTGTAAGGTCCTGCCGGCGCCCCAGCACAGGGCCTGAGGGGCAGAGGAAGTGGGGGTAGGTTCTTTGTGCATCCCGATTCTCACTGAGGGCTCTAGTCTCTGAGCTGCTTGCTCAGCGGGAGAGGAGGTCCAGCGGGTATCTGATATTGGAGCCTATGGACAGGTTCAGGGTGCTTGCCCTTCCCCCTCTCCTGTGTGGATGTGTGCGTGCACACATGCAGCCTAGGCACAGACACGCACGCCGTTCTGCATCCCTCGGGAGAGCCTCCCGTGGTCGCTAAGGCCTTCCTGTTACCGCGGTGCACTACCCACTAGAGTGGATGTAGAGGGCTCCGATCAGGATGTCTTCCTGAGCTGTCCTCCCTCCCTGGGATGAGTGTCCCCATCACTTGTTCCAAGGTGCCTTATGAGGTGGGACCTTTTATTGGCTGATGGCAAGACATCACCAGGCTTAGGGAAGAAACAAAAAAGTGGAAAGCTGACTTAGCTATGGTGTGCTGTCAATCTGATTTGTCCAAGTCGGTGTCTTGGCCAAGCTGCTCTTGGTGGAAGCTTGCAAGCCAAGGCGATGAATGAGTATTTTGTAACTAACAGAAATAAACCGAAGAGAGCGCTGACACCTAACTCCCAGAGGTGGTGGCTATTGTCTTTTTAATTTCATTTGGCTGTGGGTGAGATTCTGATAAAGGCAAGGGTGACCGGTGAGAGCCTGTGTGGCCGTGTCTTCTCAATCTGTGTCGGGGAAGATGTGTGAGGTAAGAGTCTGTGGCCCCGCAGCCCTGGAGCATGTTGGTAGCCGCCTGCCTCAAACTTTAAATTGTGGACTCCCTGGCAACAAGGAGACACACGAGCTCATGTCACTTCTTGCGCCTCTTTCCTCGGGGAAAACAAGCTCAAATCCAAGTTGTAACTTCCCTTTGGCAGTGCAGGCCCAGGGTCCACATCCAAAAGGAGCCCCAGGACACTGGAAGGAGCAGGCCCAGACGGTCCCTCCTGCCAGGCAGTGACCACCTTGTAGGATGGGAGCTAGCTTAGATCAGTGGTTCTCAACCCTGGTAATGCTGTGACCCCTGAACAGTTCCTCATGTTGTGGTGACCCCCCCACAACCATAGAATTAATTTTGTTGCTATTTCATAACTATAATTTTTCTACTGTTATGAATTGTAAATATCTGTGGTTTGGGGTGGTCTTCGGTGACCCCTGTAAAAGGGTGACTCCCCCCCACCGAAATGGGTCACGACTCCCAGGTTGAGAACCACTGTCTTAAATGAAGTATCACTCAGCTTCCAGTGAGAGACTTGTTCGCAGTGAGGGACCGTGGTCAGCCTTGCTTTGAACACCCTGAGTTCTGAGTGGGTGAGTGGGTGGGTTGCCTGCCTGCTTTGGTTTTTAATGTTTCTTTCCATAGGATTTATTAGAAATCAGACCTGTATGAAGGACACGGTTCCCACTTCAGCTGCCTCTGCAGGGAGGTGTTTAATCGGTGTTGTGAGTCACGGAAACACACTTTTTAGATGAAAGGAAGATGGTGTACAAAATGTAAACTGATTTACAATAAAGTTTCACATCTTATTACATTAAAAAAGAAGAAGAAGAAGGAAGAAGGAAACCATCGCTTTTGTGGCCGTTGGTTGTGTGTCCTCTGGAACCGAACTAGCTCACTGGGCTAATAAACCTTCTAATCCACCGTAGCAGCTGTGGGGTCAAACCTGCAAGGAAAGAAACCAGACAAGCTCACCTTCTCCCTTGCTGATGGGAGTCTAAGCCCGTTTACCTCCTGGGGAATGTGCTGTGTTTGGGCCTGAGAGAGAGGCAAACATCCTACATCCTTGTCCTTGAGGCCAGAACTAGACCGAGCTAGGTGTGGGCACTCTTCACGAGGCATGGCCTCGCCTCTCTTTGGAGTCATGGGCATTGCTCAGGGCAACACTTACCCCAACCTAGACCTGGTAGGGCTGCCCGTGTTGACCTGCCGGGAACCAGAGCGCAGGCTGAGGCTAGGGTGGAGTTTGAGGTACGACAGCCATGGAGTGACATTTAGGATCATTGTATGGTAGTGCCTGGTTGGATTTCATCTGCCCGGAGCTTTCGGGGGTAAGAATAATGTCCATTGTAGACTGGAGGGAACTGAGCTAGGTCTAACAGAGACCAACCTCTGACCCACATCTACCACTGCCCCCTCAGGCTTAGGGTCCCTGCATGTGCCGAGGTAATGCGGCCATTAGGAATACTGAACGACTTTCCAAGGGAGCCTCGCCCTCTTCCTCACAGCTTAACAGCTGAAGTGGACTTTGCCCCTCTCCCCTCAGATGGCAGTCAGCTGCCCAGTTCCCGTCTTAGGCAGAAGCTCTCTCTAGACCTTGAGCAGCAAGCATGGTCCCCTGGTCCTTCCTGGGCCCATACCCTGCCTCGCTTTGCCCCTTTACTAAGTGTCTCAGGGCTGGGTGGAGGACCAGGGCATCAGCAAAACTCTGACATATCAGCTCCCGGATCTCCTCAGCCTCCGAGTCTCCCCTGTGAACCAGAGGTGGCTGCTTACTGTGAGAAAATGCCTCCAAGCAACAGACAGGAAGTTTCTGCCCTACCAGTGTGCCGAGATGGAAAATGTATTTCCACTGGAATCCAGGGGTAGAAGAGAAAGATAAACAAGCTCAGAGCATCCACCCTGGTTCAGGGCCCTCCCTTTCCTCAGAGATTTCCCCTCCCACCCCTGCCCTGGGATGGGTTCTTATAGTCAGCCTGCCCAGACCGTCACACACATCCCAGGGTTCTTGTTCATAAACAGTGTGTGGACACAGTGCCAGTGCCTCCCACCTGCAAGGGAGCAGCTGTTCCCAAAAGCATGGGGTACCCCCAGCTGTCTGCTTTCACCAGGGCTGCTGCCCATCATTTCCAAGAATAAACACCAGCTAGTGGCTGCGTGGATCTGAATCATCTGGGAGCTTCCAGAGCAGGGGAGTGACGGCCCGGGACAGACAAGCAGGTTATATAAGTTCCTGAGGGTTGGACTTCACACAGATCTCTTCCTGTGGCTGCTGCCTGCCAGAGTTACCTACAGAGAACTCGCTTGGCATCTACCATGTCCGAGGTAAGAAGGCCAGTTGGTGCCAAGGGAGCTGGGAAGGAGCAAGTCTGGACACTAAGTGGTGGTGTCTGCTTTGAACTAAAAGCCAAGCCTAACGGGGCTCTGCAGCCCTGTCAGAGAGGACACCCTGGGTCCCACCAGGCTCTGCTGAATGGCCTTGGTTGTCCCACAACTTGTTGTGAGGTGTTGGGGGACTACTTACATAGAACTGTGTGTGCTTTTGTATGTGTCCGAGGGAGCCGATTCTGATAGCTTAGCGTGTCCGGTTATGTACATTTGTAATCTGGAGGAAGGGTGAGGGAGGGTGGCTGTGCCTATAGGTCACAGCGCTGTGACCTTCTGTCTCCCTAGCAGGGTGTGTCTCTGGGCAGGCCCAGGTTTCCCTGGGAGCCCAGCCCAGGCTGAGTGAGGGAAGCCCTGCACCTGCCTGCTGGGCTTAAGAAGGACTAAGGCCTCCAGCTCACAGGCGCCAGGGGTTAAGGGGAAGGGGAAGCAGAGTTTGGCTTTTTCAGCTCTGCTGGGACAGACAGAACAGCAAGGTTGTCCTAGCCGCTTGCTCCATGGCTGTCTACCCCATCTCCTTTCCAAACACAATAATCAAAACTACCAGTGTTTTTGGTTTGGGGAAAGTGGGACAATCCTTACTGGACTCTTTGCTACCCAGTGAACAGGTCTTAGGACTCACCAGATTCCCTAGGGCTGCTCAGCCTTGAAGTCCATCCTTTTCCCCTCTGCCCAGTTTGGCCAGACAAACAGGCCAGCATGAGGATGCAGTGGCCATCACCCCCAGGAGCTCTCTGTGGGCCAAGGTCAGGTGTCCAAGTCAGACCAAGAGGGCAGGGGGACCTGCAGAGGGTGGGAAAGGACTGGCTTTGAATTGACGGGTTCAATGATCTGCAGAGATGAACCCCTGCCAGAGTTGGAGGGGTTCATCTCCAGGCCTCAAGTTGTAAGGCTCTGGGCTTTCCAAGGTTGGCACCTCTGAAGGCCCCATCAAGAAGAAGCGTCCCCCCGTGAAGGAAGAAGACCTGAAGGGGGCCCGAGGGAACTTGGCCAAGAACCAGGATATCAAGTCTAAGACATACCAGGTCATGCGGGACTGTGGTGAGTGTACTCCGGGTGGGTCGTGGGGGCCGTGGTGAGTGCACTCCGGGTGGGTCCTGGGGGACCGTGGCGAGTGTACCCTGGGCGGGTCGTGGGGGACCGTGGTGAGTGTACCCCGGGTGGGGCGTGGGGGACCGTGGCGAGTGTACTCCGGGTGGGTCGTGGGGACCGTGGCGAGTGTACTCCGGGTCCTGAGGGACCGTGGCGAGTGTACTCCGGGTCGTGGGGACCGTGGCGAGTGCACTCCGGGTCGTGGGGACCGTGGCGAGTGCACTCCGGGTCGTGGGGACCGTGGCGAGTGCACTCC